ATGATCTCTGCTCTCAAGGAACTTAGGATTTTTGAAAGGTAGAAGCAGGTAAAGGAATATTGTAGAAGCTAAGTTTCATGTGTAGATGCTTTGAATCTTTCTGCAAGATTCCTATAACTTGTTGGCATTCAAGTGCTAACCAAACTTAGGTTTTGTGGCTCCTGACAGAGGAATAAGTTAGAAGAAAGTCAGTTTGCTACAGAGAATGGTGATCAGTACCTACACAGTGGTTACCTCCCATGAATATGGTTGAAAAGTATTCATTGTCATCAGGGACTCCAGACTACACTATTTTCCTTGCCAAGTGTTTTCCCTTCTATCCATCTATATTCATGAGGAGATAAAGATCATGCTTACACAATGCCAATATATTCAGTCAGTTCTGTGAAACATAAAAATTGCTCATAGACAAAAGAGATAACTAAATTGCTAGTTGTTCAACAAGAGTGTGTTTTTACACCACATAGGAAACATTTGGTCAATCGTTATTTTTGTTCTTCCCCTATCATGTGATATCCCCCCAAAGTGGTTTTATGAAATATTTTTTTTTCTGTTTCACCAGTTGTTTTAGGGTAGACTACATCTATTTCAGAGAGAGCAACTCCAATGGGCTGGCCACGTTGTTCGAATACAAAACACATACTTGCCAAAATGACTATTCTATGGAGAACTCACAGCAGGTAGACGTTCACACAGCGGTCTGAGGCAGCAATACAAGGAAACTCTCAAGGTCTCTCTTAAGAACTTTGAAATTAGTGGTTTGACATGGGAGACTCTGGCACAGGACCACTCAGCATAGCATGCCTTCATCAGAAAAGGTGCTGTACTCTATGAGCAAAGCAGAAATGAAGTAGCTCAAAGGAAACATGAGATGAGCAAATTTAGAGAATTCACCCCAAATGTTCACATGGCCTATTTGTGCCTGACCTGTGGTAGAACATTCTGAGCTCATATTGGTCTAATCAGTCACAGTCGGACACACCATAATCTGACTCTATCATAGTGAAGTCATTTTGGTCCTCTTCGAGAACAAAGGACAACCAACCAACATTCTGAGAAAACATGACAGGCAAAGTAATGCTAATCAAATTGAAAATGATGGACTTTGTCAATCATAAGAAAGTTTCAAATCTTTTGAGAGACAAAATTAATAGTTGGTGGCTATTGTGATTATATATCTAGAACTGGAAGGGAACTGAGAAGCCATCTGGTCCAACCCATTCATTTTACAGATAAGGAAACTGAGGCTCATAAAGATAAGATGTTTAGATTTTGAACTCCTTGGGAACAGGGACTCCCTTTTGCCTCTTTTTGTATTCCCAGGGCTTAGCACGGTGCCTGGCACATAGCAGGCACTTAATCAGTCTTTATGGACTGGCTGACAAGTGATTTGCCCAAGGTGACACAGGATTCATGATTTTATCACAGTAAATACTCCTGCCTTCAGTATATCACAATTTCTCCATACCTTTTCATCCTGGGCCTTTCTTATGTCTTCTTCATCTCCCCAATGTAGCCATCATAGATAAAACTCATATTTGCAAATAAAACTGCCCCCTCACATGTTCAGGTGACTGTGACTTGGCATTACACATATGTATGTGTGTAGGCTTATTTGAAACTCCAACAATAGCACCCGCTATTCACATGACATTCCGTACATTTTCTCTCTAAGTTAGACTGTAAGAACTATAAGACTATAAACTAGAGGAATAGTGGGATTAACCAAAATACAAAATATTGTCTTTTAAAATAGTCCCTTTTGGTCAGGCATGTTAATCTCATTTTACAAGAAAAGCGGAATAATTTTACAATTTGGTTTTCATTAGAAAAATGGGAAAAGAAAGTTTAATATCAAAGAATGGCACTAAACCCTTTATTAATATGCTAGAAATGTCTAACCTGTTCCAAGGATTACTTAAACATCATTTTTCACACATTATAAAACCCAAATAATAATATAATGGCATACAGTAGTGAATAAGATCAAGCAGCACTTGGCACATATAAAGTCCCAAAGTACAGAATGTAGGAAGCTCAGAACACAACCTGTATTTAGCAAGGGCACCATTTACTCTATTGAATTCCTAAATAAGTTGATGGTCTGTTTAAAAAGAAATGTTTCAGAATGTCTAAAAAATTAATGTAAGCTAAAGACTCTAGGATTTTTATTCACCATCTGGAATCTAGTTTGAGAGATACACAAATAGGCCTGGAGTTCACTATAACCTCAAGGGTGTTTATTCCATATTGACATTACAGTATGTAGGAAATGCAAACAGCAATTTTAAGGCTCTAAAAATAGACACTCACCTTTGATCTAAAAAGCATATTTAAATCTAGAATATACTTCAAAAGGATGTTCTTGTACCATGTTTAACACAGACAAAAACTGCTGGTTTATGCATTGACTATGCCAGGGTATTTTGGTGGTGGTGGTGGTGATGGTAGTTGTGGTTTGGAACAGTCTAGGTCAGCTAATGCATTTTCATGTAGCAATGGAATGTGATGATGCTATCATGAAGACTGCTTTATAAATATAGTCCAGAGGAATATTTGGCAGCTGATATAGGCAAAGGAATGACTGGAGAACATTTCCTACTATGTATCTGTGAAATGAATAATCTATTCTTAATATACAGTTGACTGTGTCTACCAGTTCACCTATATTAAGTACTATAAAGTAGCCAGGTGAATATTTAGACTACGTTAGTCTTCTGAGTATTTCCTAAAACGTCTATTCTTGTTAATAACTCACATTTATATTGAGCTTCATGGTTCACAAAGTGTGTCCGCATAACAATCACCTGAAGTAGGTAGTGAAGTGTTTTGATCCCCATTTTACAGATGAGGAAACTGAGGCACAGAGAAGTCAAGGGACTTGCCTAGGGTCAGACAGTTCAGTAAGTGTTAGAAAGGCTCCTAGACCAACACTCTCTCCCTGACACCACAGGCTGCCTCACTATTAAAAATGTTGTTTTTTTATGCTTGGGTCTGGTTATTTTTATAGCTAGATAGTATTACTTGAGTACTTAACTGACATTAACAACAATAATGATTAAAGTGCTGCAAAACATGTTTTGTTAAAAGAGGAGCTAGGAATAATAGTTATCTGCACTCACTCTTTAGAATTCTGACTTTAACTTACAATGTTCATTTTCTCCTTTGCCTAAGATCCCGGTTGTACAAAAATGCTTCAGGAAGAGGCCTCTATTGTTCCAAGGTGTATCGTAAACACTAATGGGGAAGCAAGTGGTTCAAGAACAATAGACTAGAACTAAACTAACTGCTCTCTTTTCTCCTTTTCTTTCACTCCTTAAGCATGAAATGTGTGTGTGTGTGTGTGTGTGTGTGTGTGTGTGTATTAAACTGGAAAACCACCGTGTCCAAGCACCAAGTGGGGAGGTGTGGAAGGGGAAGACAACCAAGCATTTTTTCATCCAAAATCCTGCGATGCCACCATGTGGGATAGTGGGGGAGGGAAGGAAGCAAAGCACCATTTCTCTTGTTGATTTCATTCTGTTTTAGGGGAAGGGGCAGGAGAATTTATAGGTTTCCCAGATCTAATTTTCATAGAACCATAAATTTAGCTCAAAAGTTCTGCAGACTTCTAACATCTATCAAACATCTATTCCTAACTGCTCATTTTTACAGATGAGAAAAATGCATCCTAGAGAAATCCTATGCCTTACCCAAGGTTTCATAGAGTAGGCTGTGTAGCTGGAATTCTAACCCAAGTCCTTTGACTCTAGACTAGGTTTCCCACTGCATCATGGTATCCAGATCACTCAGTCAAACAACTAAATTGACATTTCCTGAGATGCTCTGGATGCTAGAGGGAATCCTAGAGCCTAGATTAGATGTGCACATAGCATTCATTAAACATCATCAGCTTTCCATTCAATTTTGTGCTAAGCAGAATTGTTCAAGTTTTTCTCTTAATATCACATAGAATATTGAACACATTGGGCTGAGGACATAGCTTCATCAAGCCTCATTCTGGGTTTAGGTATGTAATTCCCTAAATTTTCTTGGACCAAGACACTTCTCTGAATTAGAAATCCTTGTTGTCAGGGTTTTGTAGGAACTTCACCCCAACTTTGCAAAATTATTAGTTTTACTAAAATAGAGGGATCCTTCTATCGTGCTGTTATGGGGAGGGGAGAGGGAAGGGAGAGAAAGGGAGGGAGGATCAGGACTAATACTAGCCTCATATCTCAACTGATGTATCAGACTTGAAAGATCCAGAGTAGTTCTGGTCTAGGGGTATCATATGATCTGTTGTATTGCTGAATCAGTGTAATGATGAGCCATTTTATAAGAAAGCTCTGCCATAGTATGGCTGCTACTTATAAGATAATGCCATGCAGCATTACAGTGCTGGAATCTTTTGAGAAGAGAACAGTTCACTTTCAACTTTTTTTTTTGCTTGGACACACAGACCTGGATATAGTACATAAGGGTTTTGTGCCAACTTTTTGCACTTTTTGACAAAAGTTAAAGCCTTGGTTTCTTGTTAGGCACTTTATAAATTCATTTAACATGACATAATTCATTTAGTTTTTGAAAGTCTTGTTTTCTTTCTATTTAACAAACAGAAAATGATTGGAGTTACTGGCTCAAATGACTATTTTTTGCAATGTTGTTTTCAGAATTCAAAGATTTTTTCATTCATAACAAAAACATTTTTGAATCATCTCAAAATCCAAATTACTGCATGCTATGGAGGACCATTAAAAACCCACTGCTGATTTCACTAGTGGTTCAGTGGCATCATACATATATGTGTGTTTATACATGTGTATGTATATATATAAGTTATATATTCATGTGTGCATATGCGTATACACATATATGTATCTATTCTGAAGCAGCAATAGAATAACATTAAGGAATACTTTTGTGCAGTGATGATCTACATTATTGTACTGGTCTAAAAGACAGTTCCTTTTGCAAATTTTCTAGATTTTTTTTTGAAAAAAAATTCTGAAATATAGCTACTAGGTCACAATTTCTTCAAAATCTGACAGTTGCTTCATCTGTTCAACCTGCATAGAATACCTTCTTATCAGCTTCTTTTTGTTTCTTAAATCAACTCTCTTTGGTGAATTTGGAGCCACAGGGACCATAGGTTTTAAGCCACTAGCAAGTGGGGAAGAAGGTTTACTGCTGGACCTGATATCAGGTATGGGTGGATTAGGATTCACATTTAAAGGGGGCAAAAATCCAGGCCTGGTATGAGAAATATGATCAAGTAAAAGAGTTCCAGAACCCCGTCTTTCCAACAAGTTGGGGGGCCTGCGCCGAACTGACCCCGGGGAAGTGCTAGGCACCCCCTCAAGAGATTCCCGAGAGCCATTAAATAAAGCCAAGTGAGAGCTGTTGAGTTTTTTCCTATCCATTGGTACTTTACCATTATCAAGGGACATGGAATTTGGTGAGTCACCACAGAGCTGTATATCTGAATCATAGTGACCATTTTCTAATCTTCTTAGAGAAGCTGAATCCTTGATGGTGGCTGATGCCGAGGTGGTAATACTTGAATTATCTTGATCAGCAGAAACAGTGCTCCTTCTGGCTAGGCGCTGATGGATGGGCTGATTTTTCTCATAGGCTGCTTTCCACGATGCTGGTGCAGAAGTGGATGGGATCTTTAAAACCTGGTCAGTGACGGTGGGGAAGAGAGTAGAGTCTTTGCCTTCAATGCTGTTATTCCTTGAGAGGGGTGCCCTTTTGGAGAAGGACAAGTCATTGATGCCCATGATGATTTCATCATCTGCACAGACACTTTTGGTCTCCTCTTGATGGGAAGAAGCTGCTAGCACAGATGGTGCAATCAAACCCCAGGGTTCTGACTGTAGCCTCTTCAACTGGGGCAAGCGGGCTCTTTTGAGGTTACTGACTTTCCTGGTGGGTGACAAGGCTTCACTGGGAACCTTGATAGCATGGCACCCACTTGAATGTCCTGAATGAAGAGTGAAGAAATCATCTTCCTTTTCTCTGGGCGGAGATCCCAAACCTGGTGTCTTTAATTCAATGTCAGATGGGGACATGCACAAAGCAGGTGATTGCCTGTCTTCAAACTTTGGTGAAGGTGGGATGTTAAGATACTGTTTAGTTGTTTTGGTGCCTGAAGATGATTTATCAGTAGTTATGATGATCACCTCCTTTCCCTTTGCCTTGCAGGCCTTCAGGAGATGTGTCAGAGTATCCTTGTCATCAGCATTAATGGCATAAACCAGAGCTGAAGCTCCAGAACGGTCTTCTAAACTAGGATCAGCACCATTTTCTAGTAACAAGGAAACTACTTCTCCTCCTGCTTTCCTAATGCAAGCATGAATGAGAGCAGTTTTTCCTGACTTATCCTGAATATTAGGGTCTGCCCTGTTGTCTAACAGGTATTTGACCATCTTGGACTTACTGATGCTTTGTTGGTCAACGTGCTTAGTGATGCATGCCACCATGAGTGCTGTTTCCCCTTTGTCATTGCTTTCGTTAATGTAGGCCCCACCTTCCAGAAGGAGTCTAGTCAACCTAAGCCTTCCTAGCCATACAGCCTTTAAGAGTGAATTTCCATCCGTCCTCAGTTCTGTTGTTTCATCCATTTTACCAGATCCAGATTAATAGGATGACAGCAACCAGACCTGGTAAGATAAAAAATGGGGGTGGGAGGGGTTATAAAATGTAATGAAATATTACTGCACTATAAGAAATGACAAGTAAGATGAATGAAAAGAAGCATGAAAAGACTTATATGAACTGATGCAATGAGAACTAAGTAGGGCAACTAGGTGGCTGAATAGATAGAGCACAAGGCCTGAAGTCGGGCAGACCTGAGCTCAAATCCAGCCTGGTATACTTACTAGCTGTATGATCCTAGGCAAGTCACTTAACCCTGGTTGCCTCAGTTCCCTCATCTGTAAAATGAGCTGGAGAAGGAAATGGCAAACCACTCAAGTTCTTCGCCAAGAAAACCCCAGATGGGGACACAACGAGTTAGGCATTACTAAAATGACTGAACAATAACAAGGAAATAATATACATAATTGCTATAAAAATATAAATGGAAAGAACAATAAGCATAAGACAATTGAAAATTAATGTTGCAAAAATAAATTATAGAGATAATACTTGACTCTAGAGAAGAAATGCAAAAAGACACCTCCTCCCACTCCTTGCATAGGTGGGCAGTCCATAAGTGTGGAATATTGCACATCATGTGAAAATTTTTTTTGATGTAGTGATAAGATTTACTTAATTTTCCCCCTTCTTCCTCTTTTTCTTTTTTTTTAATGAGAGATAATTCTCTAAGAGGATGTATAAGAAGGGATGTAGGAGAAAATTTGGGCAACATAAACAACAGATAAAAATAAAGATTTATTTTAAAATAGAAATGCTTATTAGGTTTTTTTCAGGAGTGGTTTAAAAAATCCATTTTCCATTTCCATGTAATATTCACTGCTTTTCCAGCAGATGTCACAATCCTCATCTATTTCATACAACTCTGGGTATCTCTGTCAGTGCAGTAAACTCTCCTTTCTTTTAGGTTGCCTCAAAATCAAGAAAGATAAAATGTGTTTTCATTCACAGTTTCTAAGAGGGAGATTATCTCTCAATATTTCTCATCAGGGGCCCTATCAAATCCATAAACTCTGTTTTAACTCTCTTCATGTCCCTGACAATACATAGGCTCAACATTCTCCAACCATCCTACCAAACTTGAGCCCAAAATTCTTCTTATATAAAATGAGAGGTATGTGTCATAAAACAAACTCCTTACCTTCCCTGACAAGACCACACGCTGCTTCATCTAATTTACACTGCATAACATTCTATACTTCCTTAGTCAGTTTCCTCCATATTTTATTTTAATACAACCTACACTGTGGGAAGAGAATTTGTGCCATCTTCAAGTGTTCTTGTTCGTTTGTCTGATTCATACTGTGCCCTCTTTAATATTGTCTCCTTGAGGACCATTCTTGATGCTTTTTATTATAATGAAGATTTCACTTTGCCATCTCAAAGCCTCATTTATTTATTTCATGGGAACCTAGTTTCTTTCACTTAATGCTACTTGATCACCTGTCCCAGTGTTGTTTCATTAGTAGATCAATACAGGTGATACCATCAAATAATTCAATACTTAAAAGATCTGTGATTTCATCAGTGTGGTTATATCTTTTAGTGATTCAGATCATAATACTTTCTCAGAAGCTTAGGAGATTGTCTTCATAAATTGCTGTAATAACGATTTTTTAAAAATCATCATGTGGTGACTAGTCTTCTAGTAATTAACCTTTTTGAACTCAGCGGTCTGATGCAATCTGTCACCAAAATCATGCTCAAAGCCTTTCCATCGTGATAGGACCTGCCAGAATTTGCAAGCTGGGGGCCTAGCTTTAGAGAACAAGAAAGTCTAGCCGAATGGAGGAGTACCATTAAAGAATGAAATGCACAAAAATAAAATGAAAGTATAGGCAAAGTCAGATAATCAATAAAAATAGGTTGTGCCTGAATTGACATGAGTAGAGTAGAATTGGACATGGCCAACAGATTCAGTCTATCCCGTGCATGATGGTTCATGATGATTACTTTTGGAAGGTCCAGGACTGGGGAATCTGAGCTTCCTAAATGTTTTAAAACTTTAATTATGATTATCTGCAATAAATGCATATTCTAATCATGTCTGATCTGACTTGGTTTCATCTACAAAATTTATTGGTGGTGTAGGGAAAATAGCACAGGCTTTGGAGTCCTGTGATATCAAATCTAGTTCTCTTTCTACCACACCAAACTGAAGAACCTACTAAGAAGGTTTCAGTTCAAATCTTGGCTCCTCTAATTTTTGCCTCAGGGATCTTGGGCAAGTCTTAGCTTCAGTCTCCTCATCTGTAAAATGGGTATTATAATAGTATCTGCTATACCTACTTAAAGGGTTGTTGGGAAGAAAGGAGCAAAGAAAAGATCATTCATTTATCCATTCACTGAACAAATATTTTTAAATGCCTCCTATATACAAAGCATTGTATTGAGTGATACAAAGTTTAGACAATATACAAAACCTACCTTATATAAATTTGAAGGGGATAAGGCATAAATACAGATGATTAAATCATGGAGGACTACTTGGAGGAAGTGGCATTTCAGTTGAATTTAAAGGAAGTAAAGAGAGAGAAAGCATTCCAGGCTCTCCCATCCTTTAAAAAAATCACTTCAAACTAACACTTTCATATCATTTCTTCATTTTACTACCAAACTCATTTTTTAAAAATCTGTTTTCATGATCAAAGCATGCTATTTGCTATTTTTTCTTCTGTTTTGTTTTGTTTTCTCTTTCTTATGGTTCCTCCTATTGGTTCTAATTCTTCCTTACAACATCACTAATGTGAAAATATGTTTAATAGGAATGTATATGTAGAGCCTGTATCAGATTGTGTGCCATCTTGGGAAGGGAGGTGGAGAGGGAAGGGGGGAAATTTAAAACTCAAAAGCTTATGGAAGTGATTGTTGATAAATCAAAATAAATTTTTAGAAAATTTTTTAGATAACAATTTAGAAAATATTTTGATAACAATAAAAAAATCTGCATTCATTGCCTCTACTTCTCTCACTCACTTCCCAACCCCTTGTAATCTAACTTCTGACTTCATCACTAAACTGAAACTGTTCTCTCCAAAGATATCACTGATTTCTTAATTGCCAAGTCCAAAGGCCTTATCTCAGTCTTAATCTTTCTTGACCACTATGCAGCATTTGATAATACTGACTACCCTTCTCTCCACACCAACCTCATCCTCTCTGGGTTTTCTGGACACTAATCATTTTTATTACTTCTCCCACCTGTCTGGCTCCTCCTCAGACTCCTTCAGTGGCTCATCTTCCATGTCCTATCCCCAATTCTTTACTTTTTTTAAACCTAAATTAATTTTATTTAAACTTTCCATGACCTTATCTACTTTCAAGGGTTGAATTGTCATCTCTATGAAATGGCTCCTAGGTCTAAATATTTAGTACTGTTTTCTCTTCTGGGTTCATGCCTACTTGGAGGACATTTCCAATTGGATGTCTTGAAAGAATTACAAGTTCTATATGTTCAAATCAGAACTCATTATTTTCCCCTGAAAAACCCATTTCTAATCCTAAAGTTCCTAGTTATGTTGAAAGCATCACTTCCTTTCAGTTATCAAGACTCACAACCTAACCTCAATGTCTTCCTTAACTTCTCACTCTCCCTCCTTCCTCCTTTATACAACATGTTTTAAGTCTTCCTGTTTCTACCACTACAATATCTCTCTCATCTATCCCCTCCTCTGTACTCATCTGGCCACCATACCAATGCAATCCCATATCCCTTCACTTGGACTGTTGCAATAGCCTCCTAATTGGTTTGCCTGCCTTCAGCATCTCAATTTTCTTGTCCATTGTCTACATAAATGCCAAAATTGTACTCCTCCAAAAATAATGTTTGTTTTTACATTATTTTCAACTAATAATCTTCTAATTGGTCCTCTTGCCTCAGGTCTCTTCCCCACTCCACTCCATCTTTCATTCAGCTGCCAAAGTGATTTTTCTAATATGTAAATTTGACTATGTTATCTCTCTATTCAACAAACTTTAGTGACTCCTTATCACCTCCAGGATCAAATATAAAGCCTTTTTGTTCAGGATTTAAAGCTCTTCACAACCTAGATACTTCCTACTTTTTCAGTCTTCTTAAATTTTATTTCCTTCCAAACAAATTAAAATCCAACTATACTAGCCTGTCCTCAAACACAACACTACCTCCTATTTCTTGCCTTTGCACTGACTATCCCCTATACTTGGAATGCTCTATCCCAAACTCTGACTCTTAGAATACTTGGCTTTCTTTAAGATGCAGTTCATGTGCCATGTCCACCATGAGACCTTTCCTGGTCTCCCGCTCCCCACCCTAGCTGCTGGTCATCCCCTCTAATCTTATCTCCCATCTACTCTTAATTCATCTAGTATGTTCTCATTTATATATTTTGTCTCCTTCATTAGAATGTGGGCTCCTTAAGGAAAGGGACTCTCTTTGCTTTTTGTTTGAATCCCCAATGCTTAACACAGTGTCTGGTACATAGTAAACACTCAATAAATGATTATTCATTGATTACTTGATTCATTCTCGAATATATCTTTCCCTTTTATCTCTTTAATAAGCCATCCCATAGTGATATTCCTGAAGCATAGATCTGACTATGTTATTCCCCTGCTTAAAACATTTCACTCCTTCCTTATTACTTTCATACAAAATACAAATGCCTGTTCTATATTCAAAGCCTTTAACAATCTGGATCTAGCCTACATTTCCATGTGTACATACACACGTACATAAAGATATATACACACATATGTGTGTGTTACTCCTTTTCATGCACTCTGTGGTCCACGTTCTATTTGCCATTCCTCAAAGATGATATTTCATCTCTCTTCTCCATGCCTTTGTATAGGCTGTCCCTTATACTAGGAATTCATTCTGTCCACACTTCTACATCTCAGACTTCTTACTCTACTTCAAAGCTCAGCTCTAGCACTATATCCTTCATGAGATATGGCCTGATTACTTCAATGACTAGACTAAAGC